TCTCCGTGTCCCGAGCAGCTCAAACGACAGCACCAACACCAGCAGCAACAGCAGCAACAGCGGCAGCAGCAACAGCAGCAAGAATATACCTTTATGCCTTCCTCCTTTACATATAAATAATATAAAAAAAATAATAAATATTTGCGGTGTCTGCGTACCTTTTCATTATAGTTTGCTGCTGCAGCCCCAGCAGCAAATTATAAATAAAGTTATACATGCATGCATGCAACGTAAACATCTTATTATTGAGGCACCTACTGGTTAGTTATTCTCCTGCTGCTGCTGTTGCTGCTGCTGTTGCTGCTGCTGTTGCTGCTGCTGCTGCTGCAGGTGTTACTGTTGTTGTTGCTGCTGTTGTTGTTGTTTCTGTTGCAGTTTGTGTTGTTGCTGTTGTTGCAGCTACTGCTGTTGTTATTGCTGCAGCGCTTGCTGCTGCTGCTGCTACTACACTAATACTAATAAGAATACTACTACTAATACTTGCCCTCTTGCTGCTGCTGCTGCTGCTGCTACAGGTACAGGGAAGACAGCAGCATTATTATGTGCAGCATTAGGTTGGCAGCGTCACGAGTGTCTCCAATTAAGAAAAAGGAGACACACAACTATTCTCTATCTAACTAGGACACATAAGCAGGCGCAGCAGGTACTCTCCTGCTGCTGTTGTTGTTGTTGTTGCTGCTGCTGCTGCTGCTGTTGATGGTGTGCTATTGATGGGGCTGTTAATTGCGCTGCTGTTGCTGTTATAATGGTGCCGCTATTGATGCTGTTGCTGCTGCTGCTGCTGTTGCTGCTGTTGCTGTTGCTGTTAATGGCGCTGCTGATGATGCTGTTGTCTTTATTTATGTATTTATTTATTTACTTATTTATTTATTTATTTATTTATTTATTTATTTATTTATTTGTTTATGTAGGTATTGGATGAATTACGTCGCTCTGCTTTTTGCTGCCTTGCTGTACAATTGGCATCAAGAGACTTTCTCTGTTCCTTTACTGCAGCAGCAGCAGCAGCAGCAGCAGGTGCTGGAGGAGGAATGGATACTGCTGCTGCTCCTGCTCCTGCTGCTGTTAGTGGGGTAGATTGTCGTGCTGCAGCACGACTTGTTGAAAAGGTAAGGCGGCAGCAGCATGCAGAGCTGCGGTTTGCTGCTGCTGCTGCTGCTGCTGCTGCAGACGAAGAGTCCAAGCAGCATCAGCAACAGCAGCAGCAAACTATAACTCCTCCTGCTTGGCTGCAGAAGCTGGGCAAAAGGGCGGTGGGCTTGACAGAGAAGCAGCTGCAGCAGCAGCAGCAGCAACACCAGCAGCTTGTGCATGCAGTTGCTACAAAGCAGCAGCTGCTGCTGCAGACAGCTTGCTGCTCTCCGCTGCCTCCATCTGTAGCTTCTCGCTACGCACCCAAAGGAGCAGCAGCAGCAGCAGCAGCAGCAGCAAAGACAGAGGCAGCAGCAGATATAGTTGGCGATAAACTGTCATTTCCTTCAACACAATTAACACTAACAGGAGGAGTAGCGGCAGCCGCAGCAGGAGGAGGCTCAACAGCAGCAGCAGCAGCAGCAGCAGGTGTTAGTAGCTGCTGGCTATGCCCTCATTATGTTCGTCTGTCTGATCCCTTGTATGCAGCACAACTTGCTGCTCGTGCCTTCCCTCCTGTTGTTGCTGCAGCAGCAGGCGAATCTGCTGCAGCAGTAGCAGCAGCAGTAGCAGCAGCAACACCAGCAGGGAAGGATGTAGGAGACTCTGCAGGCAAGACAGAAACCAAACAAGAAGATGGCAGTTGCAGCAACAGCAACAGCAGCAACAGCAGCAACAGCAGCAACTGCAGCAGCAACTGCAGCAAACAAGGAGTACTGGACATTGAGGAACTTTCTTCTGTTGCTGCTTGCTGCAGCAGCATAATCACGCCTACCCCTACAACCGCCACGACCACCTACAGCAGCAGCACAACCACAACGACCTACAGCAGCAGCATCAACAGCAGCAGCAGCAGCAGCAGCAGCAGCAGCGTGGGGGGCTGTGCTTATTATAGTAGCCAAGCCTTATGCCTTGCTGCAGATATAATTGTTTGTCCTTATTCATTTGTCTTTGATCCTGGTGTAGCTAGAAGAACCAAAATTGCTACACTACTCACAGGTGCTGCTGCTGCTGCTGCTACTGTTGCTGCTGCTACTGCTGCTGCTGTTGCTGCTGTTGCTGCTGCTGCTGCTGCTGTTGCTGCTGGTGTTGGTGTTGGTGTTGATGCTGCTGGCAGTGTTGTTTATGCTGTTGGTTTTAGTGCTGTTGCTGCTTCGGGTATATTGCTGCTGCTGTGGATATTGCTGCTGCTGCTCGAACTGCATTACTTGCTGCTGCTGCATTACCTTTTGCTGCTGCTGCTGCTGCTGCTGCAGGTAGCGTGGTAATAGTAGATGAGGCGCATAACATAGAGGACGTATGTCGTGATGTTGGCAGCATAGACATAACGGCGCAGCAGCTGCTGCAGTTGCTGCGGTGGATGGAGTCGCTGCAGCGGCTGCAGTATTCTCCTGCTGCTGCTGCTGCAGTAGCACGAAGAGACACACGAACGCAGCAGCTGCTGCAGCGACTTGCCTTGCATGCAAGCCGACTTGCTGCACCCATAGAAAAAATTGTTGATGTAGCATCAACAGCAGCAGCAAACCCTGAGCTGCTGCAGCGTGCACTGCAGCAGCAGCAGCAAGCAATAAGGGATGAGCTGCAGCGAGGTCTACGCATGCGCAACAATAATAGGAGCAGCAGGAACAACAGCAGCAGGAGAGGTCAATCAGCAGCAACAGCGGCAGAAGATGATACAACAATACCCCTTGAGTTACTAAGTTGGGGAGCAGGAGCAGCAGCAGGAGCAGCAGGATTTGCTGCTGCAGCAGGAATAACAACAACAGAAGCAGCAGCAGCACTTAATGAGAGTGTAGAGATCCTCTCCCTTTGTACAACAGAAGCCTTTGATATAGTAGGACTGCAGCAGCAGCAGCCGCAGCAAGGAGCAGCGGTAGCAGCAGGAGGTGCAGCAGCAGGAGGTGCAGCAGAAGGAGGAGGAGGTGCAACAGCAGCAGCAACAGCAGCAGCAACAGGAGACCGACTGCAGCAGCTAGAGCAGCTAATGTTTTGTCTATCCCTCCTATCTAGACATCCGCATGCATATGCAGCAACAATATGTTTTGCTGCAGACAGGACATTTCTTGCTGCTGCTGCTGCAGCAACAGCAGGAACACCGTCTCAACAGCAGCAGCAGCACCAATTACATCAATTACTACAACAACAACAACAACAACAACAACAACAGCAGCAAGAGGACCCTCTATCTAAGGTGTCTGTACACCTCTGGCTGCTGCTGCCTGCTGTTGTCTTCTCTCGTGTTGCAGAGGCAGCAAAAAGTCTTATACTTGCATCAGGCACACTTGCACCTTTTGATTCATACCCGTAAGCTGCTGCTGCTGCTGCTGCTGCTGTTGCTGTTGCTGTTGCTGTTGCTGCTGATGCTGATGCTGTTGTTCTTGTTGGTGGTGCTGCTGTTGTTGGTGGTGGTGGTGCTGCTGCTGTTGTTGCAGCTGCTGTCAGGTGGTGCTGCAGTTTCTACATTACTATTGCTATATATTGCTACAGTCCTGCTGCTGCTGCTGCTGCTGCTGTTGCTGTTGCTGCCGCTGCAGGTCTGAATTAGGTATATCATTTATGCGTCGTTTATTAGAGTCTCCTATAGAGACAGGGCATGTAATAGGGCAGCAGCAGCTGCGCGTAATTGCTGTTGCTGCTCTCCCTGATAGTACAGCAGCAGAGCGGTTAGCTGTACCGGATACAACAGCAGCAGCAGCAGCAGATCGTTTGCAGCTACTGCAGCAGCAGCAGCAGCATAGACATCTAATAAAAGAACAAGAATTAAGATGCCATGCTGCTAATCTTAATAATCCCTCCTTTATGGCTAATATAGGGAGAGCAGCAGCAAGATTGCTGCAGTGTATACCTGGTGGTGTGCTGCTCTTCCTCCCTCGTTATGGTTTGCTGCAGCAAGCACAACGTATATGGCAACGTGAGCCTATGTTCCTCCCGCAGCAGCAGCAGCAGCAACAGCAGCAGCAGCAGAGAGGACGACCTCTACACCATCTACTACTGCAGCAGCAGCAGCAGCAGCAGCAGCAGACTATATGGGACACCTTAGTATATCTAAAGAAGCGTGTATTAATAGAGGTGCAGCACGGAGGTTTATTAATGACTAGATCAATACAACAGCAATTTGCTGCTGCAGTGCAGCAAGAAGGGCATGCATTGCTGCTTGCTGTATATAGGGGACAAATAAGCGAAGGTATTTCCTTTAAGGATTATTTTTGTCGTGCTGCTCTTTGTATTGGATTACCCTTCCCTGCATTAGGTGACCCTAAGATAATTAAAAAGAAAATATTTAATGATGCATGCAACCAGCAGCAGCAGCAGCAGCAGCAGCAGCAAATGCAACAGCAGCAGCAGCAGCAGCAGCAGAAGGGGCTGCAAATGGTTAGTGGATCTAGATGGTATTCTACACAAGCTTACAGAGCACTCAATCAAGCAGCAGGAAGATGTATTAGACACCTGTAAGATACTCCTGCTGCTGCTGCTGCTGCTGCTGCTGTTTGTGTTGCTGCTGCTCCTGTTGCTGCTGCTCGTGTTGCTGCTTTTTCTGCTGTTGCTTCTTCCTCTGCTTCAATACCTCGTGTGTGTTTTGCGTTTGCTGCTGCTGGTGCTATTGCTGCTTGTTCTGCTGCTGCTGCTACTACTACTGCTGTTGCTGTTGCTGTTGCTGCTGCTGCTGCAGGGGAGACTACGGCGTGGTGCTGCTGTTGGAGAGTCGTCATAGATCATCAACAGGGGATTTATGCCGATGGTTATTTCCTCATTTATCTTATGAACATTCTTTATGGCCTGTGCTGCTGCAGCTGCATCACCATTTCTTACAGGCTCCTGCTGCTGCTGCTGCTACTGTTGCTGCTGCTGCAGCTGCTGCTGAAGCAGAAGCTGCTGCTGCAGGAGGACATTTACCTGTTATACTTAACATTGATGATGATGCAAATGCTGCTGCTGCTGCTACAACAACTGCTGCTGCCGCTGCTGCTGCTGCTACAACAACTGCTGCTGCCGCTGCTGCTGCTCCTTGCACAGCCTCCACTGATACGCCACAAATCAAACAGCAACAACAGCAGCAACAGCAGCAACAGCAGCAACAGCGCGCCATAGTCAAACAGGAGCAGCAACAGCAACTGCAGCAACAGCAACAGCAACAGCAACAGCAGCAGATGACACATTGGAAGGTGGAGATGCAGCAGAAAACGCAACAAATGCCCATAAAGCAGCAGCAGCAGCAACAGCAGCAGCAACAGCAGCATGAACAACACCAATATCGTCCACCTTGGTCCTCCCAGCCATCCATGCAGCAGCTGCCGTCGCATCAATTCTCTACAGCAGCGGACCTCTTGAAGGAGCAGCAGCAGCAGCATCGTTCTTCAGCACCAAGCCTGCTGCTGCAACCAGCGGCAACTCACATGCAGCTGCAACCAGCAGCGACACAGCAGCGGGGCTCCCCTCTGCCAGTGCAGACTGTATCCACAGATGCAGCAGCAACAACAGCAGCAGCAGCAGCAGCAACAGCAGCAGCAACAACAGCAGCAAAAGATGACTGGTTATCTAAGGAGGAAACTGATGATTTGTTGGCCGCATTTGACTGATGCATGTACAGTGTATATACACCTGCAGCAGCCGCAGCATTTTTGTGCTGCAGCAGCAGCAGCATTTTTAGCTGCAGCAGGAGCAGCAGCAATTTTAGCTGCTGCTGCAGCAATAACTGCAGCGTCTGCAATTTGACCTTCATATCTAAACCCTAAACCCTAAACCCTAATCTCTAAACCCTAAACCCTAAACCCTTAATAGAGAAATAAAGAAAGTAAAAAAAACAGACAGGAGCAGCAAACAAAAACAGACAGCAAAGGGAGGCAAAAGGAGGATACAAGAGGATACAAAAAGAGACAAAAGAATAATAATAATAATAAATAAGAAGAAACACAAAATAAACAAATAAATAAATAAATAAATAAATAAAAATTAATTAAATAAATGCTGCTGCGTTTATTTGTTGCACAAGTCGGAAACGCAGTAGTCCAGCTGCTGCTGCTGCTGCTGCTGTTGCTGCTGTTGCTGCTGTTGCTGCTGTTGCTGCTGTTGAGGTAACTTCAAATGGTTGTAGAGCCTAATACAACGTACGTTGTGTGTGCTGCTTCTGCTGCTGCTGCTGCTGCAGCATACGCTAGCAGCAGCAGCAGCAGCAGCAACAGCCATTTTCTGTTATTGTTGTTAATACTAGTGCTGCTGTTGCTGCTGCAGCAGCAACAACAGCAGCACTAGGACGTAGTTGCATATATCTTGCTGCTGCTGCAGCAGAGGCTACAGCTATATTAGCTGCTGCAGCATAAAAAGTATACAAGGAATTCCTCTCTGTACTAATTGACGGACAACAAGAGGAGAACAACAGCAGTATTTATTATCATAGCCACATCTCCCCCCCTTTATATATATATATATATATATATATATATATATATAAGGAGGACGTTATTAAGGCGAGCTGCATGCACTGACCATAGAGGGAGTAAGAAAGACAAAAGAAGTATTTATTTTCTTATTTTTATACGAATAAACTTTTTTCCTGTTATTGTTTGTTTGTTTATATATCATTAAAATAATTTAATTCTTTTTTTTTCTTCTTTTTTTTTTCCTCCCTTTCTATTCATCATAAGAGATGTTAATAAAAAATAAACAAAAAGATTTATTTTATTCTTTTATTCTTTGTTTTATTTATTATTATTATTATTATTATTACTATATTCCTGCAAAACCCTCGTTAGGGTATATATAATAGATTAGGGTTTAGGGTATATATAACAGATTAGGGTTTAGGGTTTTAGGGTTTACGGATTTGACGGTTTTGTTTAGGGATCTGGGTTTAGGGTTTAGGGTTTAGGGTTTTATTTATATTGTACATATGCCTTTGGTCTTTTTCTCTTAGTTTCTTAGTTTATCTGTTGGGGTTCCTTAGATCAGGGTTTAGGGTTTAGGGTTTAGGGTTTTATTTATATTGTACATATGCCTTTGGTCTTTTTCTCTTAGTTTCTTAGTTTACTCTGTTGGGGGTCCTTAGATCAATTGCTGCATGCATGCAACAAGGGTAGACCCAACCAATACGATGAGCCGAATATATGCTGCTGCTGATGCTGCAGCTACTGCAGCAACTCCAGCAGCAGCAGCAGCTGCTGCTGCTGCAGATGCTGCTGCATGCATGAATGAACACATGCCTGCAACACACCAGGTTGGTGGGGTTAAGCCGCTGCTGCATGCATGCATGCAGCTGATGCTGCTGATGTAGTAGCTGCTGCATGCTGTTGCTGCTGCTGCAGCATCAGCATGCATGAAGCATTTCTAATCTAGGAGATTATCCGCCCGAATGCATGCAGCAACAGTTTGGGTTTTTGCTGCTGCATGCAGCACACCAACCCAACAACAGCAAATTGCATGCAAATTGCATGCATAAACAATAAAAAGCCCCACAGACAATTTCCTTTCCCTCTTGTACATATATATATATATATATATATATATATATA